GGTCTGCATAATTCTAGATTCATTGAAATGTGATGATTAGTACTTTAGATATCAGTAGAAAAGCTGAAAATTAATTATGCAAATTAGGTAATTAATATGCACAATTATTTACCCTAAAACTAATCAGGTCTCGGCATAGTCCTAAAAAATCTATGTACCAAGTTTCATTGAAATGCGATGATCAGTACTTGAGCATCTTGAATTTTCAAGGTGAATGTTCCGGCGAAGCACTCCACTATCACCTTGAAGTATTTCATTAGGACTACGTGTATGTGACAATGCCCTCACAGTTTAGAATCAGTTTACCAACAGCCAATCATATTGCTTCTTTCTTCAACGCGCTTGGCCAAGCTATCATAATCTTCGGGGCGGAACTAATTCACGAGACGCTCAACGTTGCTATTTAAGACGCGCACCACTCTACCTTGTATTTATATGGGCTCTGCGCGAGCTGCCGGGTGAGCTGCTGTGAAACACCGGTCGAAAAGCCGGTGAAAATAGCTAAAATCGAGAAAACAGCACAAACTTTGAAGACATCCTAAACAATCAAATTTAAATATGTTGCATATGTAGGGGTAATCTTGTTACACTGTTCAGGGGGGTGTCAACAACCATCCCAAAATACCGTTTTCTGAAAATTTGTTGTCGGGTGTGTTTAAACCGAAGAACGAAGACAGAATATTCATACTGTTTAATCATAACAGTTTAATACATTTACATGCACTCATCGTTCATACTGTTTAATCATAACATATATTTTCTTCGTTCTTCGGTTTAAGCACACCCTTTGTTTTCACCATGATGGTTGCCAGGCGGTGAAAATGCCTGACCCGAGAATAAATGTCGCTGCACACAGTGGTAGCTGTGTTGGCTTAGATGTCGAGGCGCTTTCTGGCAGTCATTGTAACAAAGCTTTCTATTGGTCGGTAAACTTTCTATCGCGCAACCACGTGACATACACGGTTATGAATAGAATTACCGCACGGTGTTGTAGAGGGAGGAATGTCCGAACGGAACAACACCGTGCAGGCGGACGATGTACTTGAGATACCCGTGGAAAAGCTGAAAATTAACTAATTATGCAAATTAGGTGATTAATATGCACAAATATTTATCGGAAACAATCAATCTCTGCATAGTCCTTGAGTATGTAAGTACCAAGTTTCATTGAAATGCGATGATCAGTACTTGAGATACCCGTGGAAAAGCTGAAAATTAATTAATTATGCAAATTAGGTAATTAATATGTACTGATATTACCATAAAAACTATCAGGTCTGTGCAGTTTCATATGACATCTATGTACCAAGTTTCATTGAAATGTAATGATTAGTACTTATATTAAATGCTGAAAATTAATTATGCAAATTAGGTAATTAATATGTACTGATATTACCATAAAAACTATCAGGTCTGTGCAGTGTCATATGACATCTATGTACCAAGTTTCATTGAAATGTGATGATTAGTACTTGAGATATCAGTGGAAAAATCGAAAACTGACTAATCATTATGCAAATTAGGTAATTAGTATGCACGGATTTTCACCAAAAACTAATCAAATCTGCGCATATGTTCAGAGCATCTATGTACCAAGTTTCATCAAAATCCAATGAGTGGTTGTTTAGATATCAGTGGAACAATCACGGAACAGCTAAAAATCAGCTAATTATCATGCAAATTAGGTAATTAATATGCACGGATTTTTACCAAAAACTAATCAAATCTGCGCATATGTTCAGAGCATCTATGTACCAAGTTTCATCAAAATCCAATGAGTGGTTGTTTAGATATCAGTGGAACAATCATGGAACAGCTAAAAATCAGCTAATTATCATGCAAATTAGGTAATTAATATGCACGGATTTTTACCAAAAACTAATCAAATCTGCGCATATGTTCAGAGCATCTATGTACCAAGTTTCATCAAAATCCAATGAGTGGTTCTTTAGATGATATCTAAAGAACCACTCATTGGATGGAACAGTCATAGAACAGCTAAAAATTGGCTAATTATCATGCAAATTAGGTAATTAACGAGCATGGATTTTTACCAAAACCTAATCAAATCTGCGCATTGGCCCAGAGCATCTATGCACCAAGTTTCATCAAAAACCGATGTATGGTTCTTGAGATAGCAGTGGAACAGTTGGACACACATACACACACTAACTGCAAAGACTCCCATTATGTGCTTCGCACATGGGAGTCAAAAAACTGTTGACATGGAATCACTAAAACACTTCATGTGTACATGTATATTATCAAGTTTGTGTTCTGTTACAACCTTTGAAGCAAATCAAGTTAAAAAACGACCCCAAAAGCACCCATCCCAGTTGGCCATCTTTGATCTGATTGTGAAACAAATTGTAATGGACATGTATCCTAACATGTATAATGTGTGCATCAAATTTGAATGAAAACTGACAAAGCATGTCCAAGATAGCACACAAAAACAAGATGGCTGCTAGTCGGCCATCTTGGACCGAATCGCTAAACTATTATACGTGCATATGTATCACATAAAGTACAAGGCACATGCAAAGAATGAACAGATTCGGTCAAATGGTTTCTGAGATATGACTCGGGACGGACAGATAGTGACCGAATTATAAGTAAATTATTAGGGACTAATAAACCTGTTGTGGATTACTAATGTGCATGAGAACAATAGAACCAGCGTGGATTTGCAGAAATAAATGCATGGCTAGAACAATGGGTCACATGACCATGAGTGGTATAAAGTATTTAATTAAATTTCACATCCCAAAGGAATATTCAATTCCTTTGTAAGGATAACTGGCCCTAAATGCAGATCACCTAATGTATTAATATGTGGTCTCAGTAAGTTAACACATACTACTGATGGATGATAATATTGGCAACGCCGACTTGTATACCACTGTTTGGCACCGGAATCAAACACTTTTGCGTAGTAGTCAACTTCTTCTCTTCCAAGAATGAGGTCATTTAGTTGGTTGTTTTCGAATATTTCCTGATCTCTTCAATAGCCAATACCCATCATTTTGTGACACCAATAACCCAATATGCATGATCACCATACAACGTTTTATTGAAATCACCCTGTTCAGCTCAGTAAGAGAAACGTTACAGACTGTGATTTTTAGATATTAAATAAAATGGATGGACAGAACCCTAATTAATAGTCCCCGTTTTTGGACTTCGTCTGAACGGGGACTAAAAATAGTGAGGGTCAATGTAGGGCCTCTCGTCACAAGTCATTGAAAAGTTAAATTGAAGTCACACACACACCCAATTTCACAATGATGAGTGTTGAATTTCTTAGGTTACCGGTATGACTTGATGAACGTACAAATCAGAATATAAGTTATCATCCCTCTGTAATATATTCAAATGAGCATGCAGATCGCATATTGTTTCCACAAGAACTCCATTACAACCACACAAACCAAAGGATGCTGTCAAATTCTCTTTATTTTCTGCATTTTAGATTGAAAAACTGCATTTGTTCCCAATTTGCCTTTGATAATTAGCTATGCACAGTTTATTATATTTACTCAGAAATAATAAATTCATAAATATTTTATCTGTATTTATGCATTGTGCATTTAATATTCTGGTTTCAAATCTAACTTTCTGTCTGGTGTTGCATTTATCCATCTATTCAATATCCATTTAGTGCCTTTTACAACAGGACATCCTCCATGCCATGTCAACTGATCAGTATGCCCAAACCATCCTGTTTGCTCATTTATAAAATGATTATACCAAATCACTGCTTTACCCTTCTTTGGTTTTATCATCAAGTTGGACTTATTACAGTATTTATTCAGATTTAATTTCTTTCCATGTCTTAGAGCCTGTGTGAGAAATCAAAAAGAAGTTTTGAAATATATGTATAACATACAAAACAAATATAATCATTGCCAATGATACACAGTGCCAATCTACATAATATATTTATGATTATTAGCAAATTTAAACTATTTAAACTACCTCAATATAATATCAATATGTATATGTATGTACATGTCTAGATTATGTCATTATTAGCAATATGTATATACATGTACTGGAACCATCCTATACGACGTCATTATCATCTATATTTATAAACCTCAACATCATTTAATTACTAGCAATATTTATATATATATATCTCATTATCAGCAATATTTGTATACCTCTACATCACTAGACATCCTCAGCATTGTGTCAAATCACTATCTCTATGCTACATGTATGTGCATTTTTTACATATGACTGACTATTTGACATTATACTGTCATTATTTTACATACCTCTACATCATATGTGCTATTATTTGCAACAGGAAAGGCAGTTTCTCCTCCTTTTTCTACATCATTGAGGTAAACCATAAATGTAACATATCTGTAAATAATGACAATACAAGTCAGTAATTAAACCCTATTAATGTTAATACTGTTAAATTAATACTCTTCATAATATTAATCATCTGACAATGTGTAGTATATTGGTCTTATTAGCATATTTACCGCTCTTCAAGTTCACACATACACATTGTATCTGTTGGTTGGTGAAGTAATATTTTAAATAAAGTGAAGTTTATCGTTTTGTTTCTGCAAACTTTGGTTCATTTCATCTCTGCCTTACTACAGGCCATGACACAATGTGCATCATTTGACCTCATAAAATTGCTAACAGAATCAGGGTCAATAGACCGTAATAGAGTAATACATACTCTATAATGGGATATAATGAACAGCAAAATGACTCTCAAACTTTTAAGACATGTTCCATATTGAGCTTATGTCCTCACAACACACAGCAACTCGTTTTAGAAGCTGTGACGGCCAATTTTTTAAGGGTTCTATGAACTTTTGTAGACCTAAAGGTGCAGTCACACCATGACGTTCTGGCTAGCGTTCTCTGGAATTTGAGGAAACGTTGGTAGTCGCCCAGAGTCGCTGGGACAGCGCCAGAAGAGCGCCGTGAGAACGCTAGTGAACGTCGGTAATCGTTGCCGATCGTCGGGAAACGGCGGAGAACGCTGATCCAAAAAAAAAGTTTTGAACATGCACAAAGGTTCTCATTTGAGACCAGCGTTCTTCAACGTTTATTTTTAAACGCTGTTAAACGTTAAATAACTTTCTTCGATCGTTTTGCTAACGTTCGACGCGTTCGACAATCGTTAGTCAGTCGTTGCTCTAGCGTTACTTAGTTGTTACTAATCACTCGCTTTGCAGTGAACAACTCACTAGCGACCTGTCAACGACCGCTGAACGTACCCCTGCGCACATAAAGCGTGCGACTAATGTCAAATTAACGACCTAACGTTAGATACACGCTCAACACACTCACTTAACGTTTAAAAGTCGTTCATCGCGCGCTAGTGACACGTTAGCACACGTCAATGATTTCCAGGGGTATCTTACTTGGTTGCTCATTACACGCTCATTGTGTGTTAGAAACACGCTAGTCATGCGTTAGGGGCACTCGTTAATCGAACGCTGGATGTGTCTACCTCATTTTAGAACGCTTGGAAATTGGACGATTGTAACGTTCAGAGAACGCTGACCAAAACGTTATGGTGTGACGGGGGCATTATACAATTATATTGTTACATATACACTTGTTTCCATTTGATAAACAAAATCACAGCAATATGAACATTATCTATTAGCTGTAACAGTATGTTATGAAGGGATTCTACAAGGTTGACTGGCAAAATATTCTCATCGTTTAATTTTATGCTGAGTTCAAATAAACATTTTATGGAAGTTTATTACCTGCATATTCTGCAATTTCTTGCTAACTTCAGATGACAACATGTAAGTGAATTATCTTCTCCAGTATCCACACCAGAGTCAATATGTGCATTATAATGACCCCCAATGCCATACTTCACAACTTGTATTGCATCATACTTGTCAATTAATGGCCTAGGCAACTGCAACACAGTTAACATTCTACATATATGAAAATATTTAATGTACATTAGAAGCATGAATTAATGTAATAATACAATTATAATGAATCAGAGCATTATAAATCTACATACTAAGGCTTTAAATTCATGATACTTCATTTGGTTGTGCTCAACCAACATGTCATGATATCCAGTAGTTCACAGTGATTTCATGAGTTGCACATTCTCTGGAAAAGCACTAAAAATCACTATTTGTTCAGATTAAAAAACAAGATTTGTTTTGATAAATATTGTTTTTCCACAAATACAATGCACTTTCCTAATTGCTAGCATGAACAGAGTTTTGATGTGAAGGCGATCTACACTAAAAAATGACATTGACTTTTCATAACGCTCATCGATGTGTTTAAATTGTGTATATTTTTTTCAAAGTCACCATCCATTTGTATATAAGCCTCTTGCATCTCAAACATAAGCGCATATAAACCAAAATTCATTGACCATAGAAATACCTCTGAAATTGACATGCACTACTTATAGACCAAATATGGTACATAGAAGATGGAAATAGTTAAATCTTTACCCAACACAATTATAACTAATATTAAGTTGTCAATCCTAGGCGATTACAGATTATATCAACAGAAATCCTTTATAATCATATAATCCTTCAATTGTTATGTGGATTAAACATGATAATAGTTTAATTTCAATGAAAGCATATGGTCAGGCATTATATGCTTAGAAATACTGACTGTATGTCTTATTGTTGGATTTTGAAAGAAGAGTTGAACCACTGTACTTAGTTTGCAATTCACCATATGGTACATGTATATGCAATTTTTTTTTCAATGTGTTGAGATTGCAAAATGCAGGAACTATGCATTTCTTGTCTTTCCAGCACTCCAGTTACCTTTCTTTTAAATTATCCACCACTTCATCATTAACAGTATCAGGGAATATCCATGCCTGTTCACTTAGTCTGGACTTCAGGTGGGGTCGTGCATCTGTCCACTTATCCACAAACTCTGAAAAGGCTGCTGGGGTCACGGTACGCATCTCATTTACTGTAATGTAGTCTGTATGAATAAAACAACTCAATTAATATTATTATTTATTTAGCCAAAAAATAAAGATGAACATACACAAAATACAGAACAACAAGTCATTGAAAATGACACAGTCCCCGTTAAGTTCTCTTTGTGCTCGTCATATTAAAGCGGAGGGGTTGTCGCGAGTGTGTTCTTGAAACTCGAGTTCCAAGTGCCGTATACAACAGATTGTTTATTTACATCAAAACACGTGTTCCATGTAGTAGTAATATGGCCAAAATAAAAACAGCCATTATTCGGCCATCTTTGATCTGATTATGAAACATACTGATATGTATGATGTATGTGCCAAATATGAATGAAAATGGTACATAAATTGTGGAAATATAGTAGTAAGGCCAAAAAGTCAGATGGCTGTCAATCTGCCATTCTTGACCAGATTTTGAAACAAATTGTCATGGACATGCATCCTAACATGTATAAAGTACATGTATGTGCCAAATTTGAATGAAAACTGACAGAGCACGTCCAAGATACCGCATAAAAAAACAAAAACAAGATTCCTGCCAGTCGACCATCTTTGGACGAATTGCGAAATAAATCGTCATGGACATGTATCCTAACTTGTATAATCTATGTACCAAGTTTGAATGACAACTGACAAAGCATGTCCAAAATACAACATTTTCAAAAAACAAGATGGCTGCCAGCCGGCCATTTTGAATCGAATCGCTAAACCACTGCATGTACAAATGTCCCACATAAGGTACTAGGCACATGCAAAGAATGAACGGAATCGGTTCACATGGATTCTGAAGTATGACGTTGGATAG